TCTACTACTGCTACTACTACTACTACTACTACTACTACCACTACTACAACTACTACTACTACCACTACTACCACGACCACTACTACTACTACTACTACTACTACTACTACTACTACTGCTACTATTACTACTACTACTACTACCACTACTACTACTACTACCACCACTACACCTAATACCAGTACTATTATCACCACAACTCCACCATCGTGTTACAATTATGTCCTGCCGGATGGGGCGCGGAAGTATTGGCGGAAGGCTGGCGACGACGACGGCGACAGCTACGATTACTAGTACGACGACGACCACTGCCACTATTATTGCGACTACTACTACCACTACTACTATTACTGCTACTACTACGACTACTACTATTACTACTACTACTACTATTATTACTACTACTACTACTACTACTACTACTACTACTACTACTACTACTACTACTATGAGTACTACTACTACTACTACTACTACTACCACTACTACTACTTTTATTATTACTATTTGTACCACCACGACTACTATTACTATTACCCTTATTAGTAGTACTACTACTAGTACTCAACCACTACTATTTTTACTACGACTACTACTGGTAGTCGTACTACTGCCAGTACTACCACTACTAGTATTGCTATTACCATTACTAGTACTAGTACTAGTACTAGTACGAGTAAGAGTACGAGTACGAGTACGAGTACGAGTACGAGTACGAGTACGAGTACGAATACTACGAGTACTACGAGTACTACTACTACTACTGCTACTACTACTACTACTACTGTGACTATTGCTGCTACTACTACTACTCCTACTACTATGAGTATTACTACTACTACTACTACTACTACTACTACTACTGCTGCTGCTGCTACTACTACTACTACTTGTTCCACCGCGACTACTATTACTATTACCCTTACTAGCAGTACTGCTACTAGTACCCAACCGCTAGTATTGCTACTACTACTACTGGTACGAGTACTACTGCCCGTACTACCACTACTAGTCTTACTACTACCATTACTAGTAGTAGTAGTAGTAGTAGTAGTACTACTACTAGTACTACTACTACTACTATACTACTACTACTACTACTACTACTACTACTACTACTACTACTACTACTACTAGTACTGTTACTACAACTACTACTACTACTACTACTACTACTTCTACTACTACTACTGCTACTCCTGCAACTTCTGCCACGACTGATATTACGACTATCACGACTACGACAATTCATAGACTACAACTACTACTCTTACCACTACTAGTACCACTACTAGTACTACGACTACGTTTACGACTACTAGTACTACTACTACGACGACAGCTACTACTACTATTACTGAGACGACTACTACTACGACTATCACTACTACTACGGATTCCACTACGAGTACCATTACCACTACTACTACTACTGCTACTACTACTACTACCACTGTTACTGCTACTATTACTATTACTACCACTACGACTACTCGTACCGCCAGTACTGCGCTTTCTACGGCTACCACCATTATTAGTACTACTACCACTACTACTACTACTACTACTACTACTACTACTACTACTACAGCTACTACTAGAATTTGTAATAAGAGTACTACACCACTACGGCGACTACTACTACTACTACTACTACTACTACTGCTACTACTACTACTACTACTACTACTACTACTACCACTACGGCTACTACTGCTACTACTACTACTACTACTACTACTACTACTACTACTATCACTACTACCACTACTACTACTACTGCTGCTACTACTGCTGCTATAAATATTACTACTACTACTACCACTACTACTACCACTTGTACTACTACTACTACTACTACTACTACTACTACTGCTACTACTACTACCACTACTACAATTACTACGACTAGTACTACTACTACTACTACTACGACTACTACTATTACTAGTGTTACTACTACTACTACTACGACGACACTTATATTTACACCCACATCTACTAGAATGACAACTAGCACTACTACTACTACTACTACTACTACTACTACTACTACTACTACTACTGCTACCCCTACTAATACTGCTACTACTACTACTACGACTGCTACTACTACTACTACTACTACTACTACTACTACTATCTGCTATTGCTACTACTACCAGTACTAGTACTACTACGAATAGTTGTATTATTATTATTTGTACCGCTACTACTACTACTACTACTACTACTACTACTACTACTACTACTACTACTACTACGACTACTAGTTATACGGTTAGTAATTCTACGACTACTACTATTACTACCACGACTACTACTACTACTACTACTACTACTACCACTACTACTACTACTACTACTACTACTACTACTACTACTACTACTACTACTACTACTACTACTACTACTACTACTACGACTACGACTACTAATAATATTTATACAACCATTACAACTACCACTGTTAGTAGTACTACTTGTACTACAACTAGTATGTCTACTATTACTAGTACTACTCCTACTACTACTACTACTACTACTACTACTACTACTACCACCACGACCACCACTACTCCTACTATTACTACTACTACTACGACTTCTACCACGAGAACTGCTACAACTACTACGGCTACTACTACTACTACTACTACTACTACTACTACTACTACTACTACAACTTCTACTACTACTACTACTACTACTACTACTACTACTACTACTACTACTACTACTACTACTACTACCACGGCTACTACTATTCTACCATCGTGTTACAAGCATGCCCTGCCGGATGGGGTGCGGAAGCATTGGTGGAAGGCTCGCGAAAGCCAGCATTCTAGGTTCCATGAAAGAGGTTTGTTGGTTGGTTGGTGTCTGCTACATTTTCTATTGGTTTTGACGACTTGAGAACATCATTCATAAGCGTCGCATTCATCGCCCGTGTGAATGCAACGCCCTTGACCGACACAGTTTCGACAGCTTTTTTTTGTATCTTCTGTTCAAAAGCATAGTGGTATATTACATGGAATCAGAATGTACGATGATGTGTATTGAAAGTTGTGCGACGCACACACAAGTATAGTGTGATGTGCTCCGTTGTGTTCATCGCGGAGAAGTTTACGCATGATTCCGTGAGTGTTCATGCGAAGGAGTATGGGCGCCTGTACAGGCTTGCGGAGGGTTGGCGGCAAGTTTCGAGAAGGAATGCGGAAGCCAACCGTCAACATCAATTAGGCGCATGTACGGAGTGGCGGAAGGTTGGCGGAAGGTTTCCGGAAGGAATGCGGAAGCCAACCGTCAACATTATCCATGTTGGTGGAAGTTCGTGGAAGGTCGGCGGAAAATTGCGGAAGTATAACAGAGATGCAAAGAACAATAGTTATATAATCTCAGTTGTTTCAGATGTTTCGCAACATGCTTGTCGGAGTTTTCGCAGGCCAGAGTTGGAGTAGGGCGGGGAGCCCTCCTGCCCCCTTCTCCTTCTGCTCCACCGCCTATTCGTTCCTGTCTCCAGCGCCCTCTGTACATTCCTTTGTCTACGTGTAGACCTCCCCCTATCGCATGTGCGCCCCTTCGTCACGCTAAGCCGCGACGGAGCAAACGTAGGATCGGGGGAGCAGCCGACGCGAGCTCCTAGGCCCCCGTCGCGACACGGGGCCATGTTGTAGCTGCAGCTGCGACGGGGCCCGCGCACGGTCTGCAGCGGCAAGCCCGAACCAGGCAATAATGCCGGCGTGGCTCATCCACCTTGAGCTGGAGGAGGTCTGATTTCTGAACTCCACGTCGTCGCCGTCGTCGACGTCATTGCCTTCCTCCACGCCCTTGTCGTCCCTTATCCTGCCCGTCCTCCATGGCCTCGCGGTCTGGAGGTATATAAGTTATAAGCTATCACGGGCGCTGGTCCGTTGCATCTTTGCTTTGTTGACGCATAGGTGCAGCCGCCATGGCCAGTGATCAGAATGCACAATAAGTGTTGTTTCACGTTTCGCGCATGCCCACCAGCTTGTTCAGAAACACTGCCCATGAAAGCTGACGGGAAAAGGGACGAAGAGACACATATTGTGAAACAGTGCGCTCAACCAGGATAAACAGGACGATCTAATCCCTCGCGAACCCACCAACACATGTGAGTGAGGGGAGGGGGAGGGTACCCCTGTCCGAAGTGGTTAGACCTCCTCAGCCCAAAGGGCTGGTGGGGCTTGAACAGAGCCCTCTCCGTATCGTCACTGCCTGAGGTCCTGGGACCGTTCTCGCAACTCGCCGCGCAGTGCCACTGTATGTAGTTGCTGTACAGTTCCAGCGCCGTCCGCCTATAATTCGCTCTGACTGCTGCGTCCCACAGTGACCGTCCTCTCACCTGCGACGCATGGCGCGCGGGGGTGCGCGAAAGTTGCGCGCTGCGAGCGCGGGCATCCCGGTTTCTTTCTCGGAGGTTTGCCCGTCCCGTGCCATTGCCTGAAAGTGAAGCCTGCAGAGGCGTTCCTTCACTCTGCAGTCGACAAAAAGAAAGGCAGTGCCTCGAACACCACGAGCGAGCCATTCCCTGCTCCCCCCCCTCTCAAGACCGAGGGGGCGAGCGAGGCGGGAGGCGGGCCTCGGTTCAGAGGGCGACGCTCGAGGGCGCGACTGCGGCCGTCCCTCACCACTTACCAAACCACCCCAACTCAACCCGAAGGCCTCAATTTGCCCGCCATTTCCAGTGGGGGGGGGTCGGGGAACATTGAAACAGACATGGAACCCGTACCCCCGCCCAACCCGAAATTCGGGTCGAATTCGGGTCTTCGGGTTGGGCTGGGGTGGTCTGGTAGGTCGTCACTTCTCTCCCTCTGTCTCCCTCCCCCTCTCTGTGTCTCTCTCCATCTCTCTCCCTCTCTCCCTGCTTTCCCTACTCTCTGTATGGTGAAGGCCTCGCCCCTCTCTCCATCTGTCTCCCTCCCCTTCTCTGTCTCTCTCTCTCTCTATCTCTCCCTCTCTCCTTAAGTCCCCCCGAGGTTCTCCAGGATAGCCTCGACGAGCGCCAAGGAGGTCGAGGTGTTCACGGGCTTCGAGGACAAGCTCGGGCCCTTCGGCAGGGGCGTGGCGGTCACCAGGTGGGAGCCACGCCCCTGGGGGAGGAGGAGGAGGAGGAGGAGGAGGAGGAGGAGGAGGAGGAGGAGGAGGAGGAGGGAGGAGGAGGAGGAGGAGGAGGAGGAGGAGGAGGAGGAGGAGGAGGAGGAGGAGAGAGGAGGAGGAGAGAGGAAGGAGAGAGGAAGGAGGAGCAGAAGGGAGGAGGGAGGAGGGAGGAGAGGAGGAGGGGAGGAGGGAAGGAGGGAAGGAGAGGAGAGGGTATATAGACAGAAAGCAACAGGTGGGAGCCGGACGCCTTTCACAGCAAGAGGGAGGCACTCCTCAACAACCATTGGCCGTGCATGGAAGCCGGAGAGGGAGGCGAGCCCCGCGTGCTCCGGCAGGTGAACCCCCGCAGCGGCCCCGACGACCCCTGGAACGCGAAGCTGGTGGAGTCCATCCTGCGGCGCGGCGCGGAGCACGCCGGGTGTGCCGACTTCTGCATCCCCGTGCTGGTGCCGAGCTGCTTCGCCTACAACATCTGGGAGCAGATGCCGCCGGACCTGGAGGCCGAGGGCATCGAGGTCGGCTGCAACCGCTGGGGCGAGCCGCAATGGCCCGACCGAGACGTGTGGGTGGTGCAGCTGTCGGAGCAGGGCGCCTCCAGGGCCGCCGCAGCCGGCTCGGGCGGCAAGGTCGAGGTCTTCCGGCAGCGGCTGAGATGGGTCGAGCTGCAGAAGGGGGGCGAGCACGCAGACGCCCTCAGCGCGCTGAGCTCCCTGGCCTCCACGCTGAAAAAGCTGGGCATGTTCCAGGAGGCCGAGCCGCTGTATCGGAAGGCGCTGGAAGGTTGCCAGCGCACGCGCGGGGAGAGCCATCCAGAGACGCTGGGCGTCATCAACAGCTTGGCCCTCTTGCTCGACGAGGTGGGCGAGCACGACGAGGCCGAGGCACTCGCGCGGCAGGCACTGGCTGGGCACGAGAGGACGCTTGGCTCGGAGCATCCTGCTACGCTGAGGTCCATGGGGAATCTGGCGGGCATGTTGGCAGCGAACGGCCAGCGGGTGGAGGCCGAGGGCCTCTATCGCGCTGTCATCCGCGGGTGGGAAGCGCGAGGCCAGCGGGCGGAGCCAGATATGCTGACGGCACTGAGCGACCTCGCACTGCTGCTGGAGGAAACAGGCAAGCTCGCGGAGGCCGAGACGTGCTTCAGGAGGGCCCTGCAGGGCATGGAGGCGTCGCTGGGGCCGTGCCATCTGGACACGCTGTGCGCCCTGAACGACCTCGGCGTGTTCCTCAAGAAGACGGGGCAGTTCCCAGAGGCAGAGAAGCTGTCCTGGCGGGCCCTAGACGGGTGGGAGCAGGCCCGCGGCCGCGACCACCCGCACACTCTGGCGTCGGCCAGCAACCTGGCCCTGGTGCTGCAGGAGATGGACCGCCGCCAGGAGGCGGAGCCTCTGTTCCGCCGCGCCCTGGAGGGCAGCGAGCGCTCCGCCGGCCGCGCGCACCCGGACACCCTGATGTACGTGAGCCACCTCGCAGAGCTGCTGCGGGCCACTGGCAGGGCCGAGGACCGAAGAGCAAGGCTGCTCGGCTGCACGCAGTACACTGGGGGCCCGTGCCAAGAAGCACCCTGCTTGCCTCCAGGGTGCCCTGGGTTTCTTGGGCTTCGACGGTTTTGCGATGGAGAGCGCGACGTTCCCGCACCAAAAACCGATGGACGTCCTGGGGCCTCAGGGTTGGGCTTCTTGTGGAAGGTTTCTCGTGGTACTGTAGTGACCTGTCGCCAGAGTGACCCATGGTTCGGGCCCAATATGGGCCCCGATCGCTGACTGAGATGCAACAGCAGCCGCTTGCGCGCCCGGTGGCGGTGGTGTTTCCAAAGGCCAAAGGGCCCCCCTTGGGCCGCGCGCCACAGGTCGTTCTGGCCTAGGACTAAGTCGGGCATGTCCCTCTACAGGGGGGAAATTCAGAAATAGTCAGAAATCGTCAGGGGACGATTTCTGGAGTATTTTTGACCATTTCGAAATATGTTGTTCAATTTCCATTTTTGCCCAAAATCCGCCTGTAGGGGGACATGCCCGACCAAGCCTAGGATCACTCTGCGTGTAGCCGGACTGCATCAAGAAAGACTGGCGGAGGTCCGCGCGGATTTCTTGGTTCGGCGCTGCCCCCCCTCCCCCTGGCGGCGCCTCCGGCGCCGCCTCTGGCGCGCTCCGCGCGCCAGGGAGTGGGGTCCAGCGCCGATGCAATAAGTCCGCACGGGCCCCAGCAAGTCGATGTTCGTGCCGCGTCTTGTTCCCTGGCAAGGAGGCGGAGCCGCTCTTCCGCCGCGCGCTGGAGGGTCGCGAGGCGGCGCTGGGGCGCAGCCACCCGGACACGCTCGCGTCCCTGCACGGCCTGGCCCTGCTGGTGGCCGCGACGGGCCGGGCCGCGGAGGCCGAGCAGCTGCTGCGGCGGGCGATCGACGAGAGGGGGGGGGCCCTCGGCTGGGGCCACCCGGACACGCTGGCGTCCATGAGCAGCCTCGCGAGCGCGCTGCACAAGCAGGGCCGGAGCAGGGAGGCCGAGCCGTTCGCCGCCAAGGCGCTGGCGGGCCGCGAGGCCTCCCTGGGCCCGCAGCACGTCGACACGCTCAGGTCGCGGACGCAGCTCGCGCAGCTGCTGCGGGAGGCCGGCCGCCTCTCGGAGGCGGAGCCGCACGCGGTGCGCGCCTCCAAGGACTGCGAGGAGGCCTTCGGGCCGCACCACGCGGCCACGCTGCAGGCGCAGAGCGGGCTGGCGCTGCTGCTGCAGGCGCAGGGGAGGCACCGGGAGGCCGAGCCCCTCGTCCGCCGGGTGCTGGAGAGCAAGGCGGCCTCTCTGGGGCGGGGACACCCCGAGACGCTCAGCTACCTCGTGGACCTGGCGCTCAGGGGAGGAACAGGTACCCCTGCCGCTACCCTTCCCTCATTTGGGCCCTGGTGGGCCTCCTGGGCAGGCCATCGTCGCCACGGCCGGGTTCGCCTCGAGATCCTGGTCAGGGCGCACCCCAGGAGAGCGGGGTCCGGGGCCTGGGGAGCCGCGATGCGGGCTCCTTTCTTGGTTTCCCCCAGGCGCTGCTCCTGCAGAAGCTGGGGAAGCACAGGGAGGCCGAGCCCCTGTGCCGCGGCGCGGTCGACGGCCTCGAGCAGGCGCTCGGGCCCGCGCACCCCGACGTGGCGAGGGCGAGCGACGCGCTCGCGGGCCTGCTCGAGGAACTGGGACGCCCGAGGGAGGCCGAGGAGGTGTACCGGCACGTGCTGAAGCGGCGCAGGGAGGCCCTGGGGGAGAGGCATCCGGATACCCTGCGGACGATGTGCGGGCTGGCCATGCAGCTCAAGAAGAGGAACAAGTACGAGGAGGCCGAGGCGACGTCTCGAGCGGCCGTGGAGGGCTTCGAGGCCACCCTGGGCCCAGAGCACCCAGAGACGCTGCGGGCGACTCACACCCTGGTGGCGGTGCTGCTGGAGGAGTCAAGCAGTGGCGAAGCGTCCTGGCTTGCCTATAGGCCTACCGAAGAATGTTCTAAGAACCATTTGTGACGGTCTCCACGAAGTGTTCTTTGGACATTTCTGGCTGAGACTATGTCTTGCTTTCAATCATCGGGTGTATGTTTTAAGAACATTGTTTTTGTTCTTAGAACATGCTTGGGTTCTAAGGACATTTCGTGGTAGGCCTATAGGAATGCCGGGACGGTCGGTCCCTGCTCAGAGGAGGGCGTCCGGCACAGCGAGGCAGAGCCCATCTGCCGGCAGATGTGCAAGCGCTACGAGGCCGCGCTGGGCCCGAAGCACCCCGACACGCTCCGCGCCCAGCACACCCTGGCCGACCTGCTGATGTCCTCGGGGCACTTCGCGAAGGCCGAGAAGGTGTGCCTGGTGGCCGCCACGGGCCTGGAGGGCGCGCTGGGCGGTGACCACCCCGACGCGCTGGCGTGCCTGAACACGCGCGCCGAGCTCTGCATGCTGAGCGGCAGGCAGCACGAGGCGGAGCCGCTCTTCCGTCGCGTGCTGGAGGGCCGGGAGGCGAAGCTGGGCCTGGCGGCTCCCGAGACCCAGCGCACGCGCAACAACTTGGCCACCATGCTCATACAGATGGGCCGGCCTCTGGAGGCCGAGCCCCACTTCCGGCGCGCCCTCGCCAGCCAGTCGGAGAAGCTGGGCACGGCCCACCCCGACACGCTGCAGACGCTGAACAACCTCGCCGTGCTCCTGGACGACATGGGCCGCCACCAGGAGGCCGAGCCGCTCCACAGGAAGGCCCTCGAAGGTCGGGAGCAGCTGCTCGGCAAGAGCCACCCCTTCACGATCAACTCCTACCAGAACTTGGCACTGCTGCTGCAGACGACCGGACGACCCCATGAGGCCGAGCCCTTCTCGCGCAGCGCCCTCGAGGCCGTGCAGTCCACGCTGGGGCACCTTCACGCGGACACCCTTCAGTCTGTGCACAACTTCGGCGAGCTGCTCCAGAAGACCGGGCGCCACGACGAGGCCGAGCAGTTCCTGAGGCGGGCGCTGGAGGGGCGGGAGTCCACGCTGGGCAGGGGCCACCAGGACACCATACAGTCCCTTTCGGCGCTGGCGGGCCTCCTCGCCGAGGCCGGCCGCCACCAGGAGGCCGAGGAGCTCCACGAGCGCCTTGACGCGGAGCGGCAGCGGGACGCGGAGCCTGCCCTGCGCGCGCAGGCGGCCACGCTGGAGAAGGAGCTGGGCCCGAGCCACCCCGAGACGCTGCAGGCGGTGACGAGGCTCGGGCGGGCGCCGATGGGGGGGGGGGCCCAATGGGGGGTGAACAAGAAGGGCCCAACATGGGGCCCTGTGGGGCCCTCCTGGAGCCACCATAAGGGACCCTAAAGGGCCCCTTTGGGGGCCTTTTCTTCACCGCCCAGTTGGGCCTCCCCCCATTAGCGTGGGCCCAAGAGGCTTGCAGAGCTGCTGATGAGGGCTGGCCGCCCCAGGGAGGCGGAGCCTCTCCTCAGGAAGGCGCTGGGGGGCCACGAGAAGGCCGGCGGCGACACCGACCCCAAGACGCTCACGGTCGTCAACAACCTCGCGGTCGTCTTGGACGACCTGGGGCAGCACAGGGCCGCGGAGCAGCTATCCAGGCGCGCGCTGGAAGGCCGCGAGGCGATCCTGGGCCCGTACCACCTAGACACCGTGAATTCTCGGAACAATTTGGCGCTGCTGCTCGAGAAGCTTGGCGAGAGGGACGAGGCAGAGAAGCAGTACAGGAGGGCCATTCGGGTGCTGGAGTCCACCAGAGGCCGCGATCACCCGGACACCCTGCATGCGGTCAGCAACCTTGCGTTGCTGTACGCGGACGAGAAGCGATACGAGGACGCCGAGCGCGCGTGTCGCCGGGCGCTGGTGGGCCGTGAGGTGTCGCTTGGGCACCAGCACCCGGAGACCCTGAGCTCGGTTCACCATCTGGCCTCGCTCTTGGTGACCACGTCCAGGCATCAGGATGATGGGCCTGTTTTCCACCACCATCACCACAAGTCGGAGGAGGGAAGGAGGTGGAGGACGAGGAGGAGGAGGACGAAGAGGAGGAGGAGGAGGAGGCGGAGGAGGAGGAGGAGGAGGAGGAGGTGGCGGAGATGGAGGACGAGGCGGAGGAGGAGGAGGAGGAGGAGGAGGAGGAGGAGGAGGACCCCCTGCCCCTCCAACTTATGGTGGTGGTGGTGGAAAGCAGGCCCATCACAGGAGGCGGAGCCGCTGGCGCGGCGCGCCGTCGAGGGCTGCGAGGCGAGCCTGGGGCCCGCGCACCCCGACACGCTGAGCTGCCTGGACACGCTGGCCGAGCTGCTAAAGGCCATGGACCGCGCGGCGGAGGCAGAGGCGTTCCTCCGCAAGGCTTATGATGTTCCAACTTACTTTAGCCTTGATCACCAGAAATCATTAAGTCCGAGCACCAATAAAATATCGAAACAGGTGGGTTTTCACGTGTCGGGCCCTGGGAGGCGATACTCGTTCGACACTGTTTCGACGCTTTTCTGGGCGCTCGTCATGATTTCTGGGATGTGGTCCGTAAGTGCGATGGGAGCAACATAACGCAAGGCAGGGCTGGACCTAAGCGCTGTTCTGCTGGATTTTGGCTGTGCTTTCTTTTTCGTTTCGGCAGGGAGGCATCGCAAAACAGGTAGAGTTGAGTCGGACATGCCCCTCTACAGGAGGAAAATTCAAAATAGTCAAACATAGTCCATGGAAGATGTTTTGAGCATGTGGGGTGCATTTATTCCTCCAAAATCCGCCTGTAGGGGGACACGCCCGACTCAAACCTAAGCGTTGCTTGGCTGGATTTCGGCTGTGTTTTGTTTTTCGTTCTGGCAGGGAGGCACCGGAAAAGAGGTCCAGCAACACGAAGCACACAAAAAGGAACACAAAACGACGAACAACATTTCGGTCCAGCCCTGCCGCAAGGCACTCGACGGCAGGGAGGGCACCCTCGGGCCCGACCACGAGGACACCATCCGGTCGCTGAACAGCCTCGCTGCCCTCCTGCTCGCCCTCGGCCGGCCTGCAGAGGCCGAGCCCCTGTGCAAGCGCGCCGTCGCGGGCAGCGACGCGCTGCCCCCCGGGCACGCGCAGACGCTGGAGTCCGTCAACAACCTGGCCGTGGTCCTCGACGACCTGGGCAGGCCAGAGGAGGCCCTCGGGAGCGACGGAAGGACGTACGCGTGCATGAAGCCACGCTGGTTTCGAGAGCACGCATGGCGCGAGTGTTCGCATCACGCTCATGTGCACAGTGGGGCGCGTGCGTCCTTTCGTGGGCTCCCTGTGAGGCGGAGGCCCCCGCCCGCAGGGCCTGCGAGCAGCGCGAGGCGAGGCTGGGGCCCGACCACCACGACACGCTCAACTCGTGGAACAACCTCGCGCTGATCCTGGAGGTGCTCGGGCGGCAGCGGGAGGCGGAGCCGCTCTTCCGCAGGCTGGAGACGAGCAGCACTGCAGACTCTGGGTTTCTCAATAAGCGCGGGGGGGTACCCCCCCGACGGGGGTCAACCTCGCCTCGTCGTCGCGCCGCGACGGGGATCGGAGTGCCTTCGGCGCGCCGCGGCTGCCCGCGACGGGGGTCGATGTGGGTCTGTCGGCGGGGGTGACGCCCCCCCGACGCTTACTAAGAAGCTCGGAGCAGATACACGGCCAGTACCTTTGGCTTCGCGTGTCGCTCCGCCGGTCCTGGCCCACCACTCTTCGGTGCGACGCGCTGCCCACTTCCCAGGCCCCGGTTGTCAACGTCCCCGGCCTCTCCGAGCCTTTCGCCCCGCGGAGCGGGGCGGCACGCTATCCGTTGTCAAGACGCAGCGTGTCGCCGGGGCCGCCGCCACGACTCGCCATCCCACAGTTCTTGACCGTAGACTTTCAGAGGTCCGCGTGGATGCCCTGGATCGGCGCTGGACCCCGTTCTCTGGCGCGCGGAGCGCACCAAGGATGGCGCCAGAGGCGCCGCCGGGGGGCCCAGCGCCGACCCAAGAACTCCACGCGAACCTCCGACAGTGTATGTTCCTGCATGTGCTGCTCTCGTCTTGCAGGGTGATGGCCGGACTCGAGAGGACGCTCGGGCCCAGGCACCCGGACACGCTGCAGTCCGTGAACAACTTGGCGCTCCTGTGGCAGGCCACCGGCCAGGTCGGGGAGGCCGAGCAGCTGCTGCGGCTCGCGGTGGAGAGCAGGGAGAACGGGTCGGTCGGATGACACGGGCGGGGCGACTTGGATCCGTCGCGTGATGCGCATCGGAGAAGGAGCAGGAGGAGGAGGAGGAGGAGGAGGATATTCAGAGGAGGAAGAGGACGGGGATTTGGTGGAGAGGGGGAGCTGCGCATCACGTGACGAAATCCCTCTGCCTACATTTAAGTCGGGCCTGTCCCTCTACAGGAGGAATACTCAAAAATAGTAAAACATAGTCTGGGGACGATTGTTCTACTACATTGAATTTGTTGAGAGTTTTTTCTATTGGATGTTTAAAACATGATCCGCCCCAAACCCGCCTGTAGGGGGACGCGCCCGACTTAAAACGTCGCATCACGTGACGACACCCCTCTGCCTGCATCGGGAAAGGTTGGCGGGGGGAGGGGGCTGGCGGGGGTTGCGAAAGCTGGTGCGTGCCGCTGGCCTCGGCCCAGGCCCCCAGGCCCTTTCCCTGGGGCATGGCCCCCTCCGGCGCCATGGGTGGCGCGGCGAAGGCTGTTCGGGGGCCCCCAAGCGGTGCGGTGACCACACCGTGTGGTGAGTCGTTGGGGATTCGGGGTCACCGCACGGTTTTGGGACTCGAGTCCCTCTCCGAGGGTGTCTCGGGCGACTGGAGCCTCCAGGGTCCCAAGACCGTGTGCCGTATATGGAAGAAGAAAAAACGCCATAAACATAACCTGTTGGCGCTCCCTACGGATTTCTCGGATCTGCGCTGGGCCCCCTGGCGGCGCCTCTGGCGCCGTCCTTGGTGCGCTCCGCGCGCCAGAGCGGGGGGGGGTCAGCGCAGATCCACGACATCCGCGCGGACCGTCGAAAGTTTATGTTGGTGCCTTTTTTTGTTCCTCTAATGTACGCCCCTCCTCCCTTCATCACTCAGCAGAGAGAGCATAGGCACAAGCGCAGTTAAACGCAGATTTCTTGAAAAGATGGGGACATTTTGCAAATGGAGGGGAAGATTAAAATCCAGAACATACGAAGCACATATGAAACAAACATTGCGTCGGCTTATTGGGAAGGCCTTGCTGGCGGCTGGTGCCGCCGACCCTGAAGGGCGACGACGACGACGACAACGACGACGACGACGACGACGACGACGACGACGACGACGACGACGACGACGACGACGACGACGACGACGACGACGACGACGACGACGGCGACGGCGACGGCGGCGGCGGCGGCGGCGGCGGCGGTGGCGCTGCTGACGCTATGAAGCCCTTATTCTCGCTCTCTTGGGAGCCTCTTGGGCATTGTTCGAGGGCCTCTTGGGGGACTTCTTGGTAAGCTGAGTGCTCACTTGGAGCCGCCTCGGAGTGGAGCTGAGGCCTCTTGGAGGTACGTGGGAAAATATGCAGCATCCCGCAACAGCAGAGAGAAATGAGGAGGGTGCCTCTGGGGTGGGGGGTTCGGGAGGGAAGGAGGGTGGTGATGGTCCCCCTGTCCCCCTTCTCCACAGGGGACCCCCAGGGGGGGGGGGCTCACAACCCCCAGGACCCTCCCCGCTACCTTCCTCGGAACCCTCACCCCCGGGACCCGCCTGGCTGCCCCCCCCCCTGGCAGGGAAGGGACAAAGGAAACGGGCTTCCCTTCGAATCAATTCAGACCTTCCAGGGAAGGGGGGGAAGCGTTGACGGCGACAACGACGGCCAAAACGGACAAATGTTTCACACGCCGACAGCGTCGACGCTATTTTCTCCCTGGGCCCCGTTCACAACGTTCGACCAGAGGAGAGCACCCTCGGGCTCAGCCACCCGGACACCCTCCAGTCGGCGAGCAGCCTGGAGGATCTCCTGCGCTCGACCGGGCGCGGGGAGGAGGCCGACCAGCTGGCGCGCCGTGTGTATCAGGATCGGCCTCGAGTCAACCGGGGGTGCAATACGGTCGGGAGCTTTCGGGTAGCGTGTCGCTCCGCCGGTGCGGGCCCACCCCAGCGTAAACGTCACGAGCCTTCCGAGCTTCCCGTCCCGCAGAGCGGAGCGGCACGCCATCCGCTTGCCAGGAACAGCGTGTCGCCAGGACCGCCGCGGCGACACGCTCAGCAACAATTTCCCACAGTACAGTGGTAGCCCATGCCAAGGAACACCCTCCAGGGTGCCCTGGGCTTCCCAGGTTTTGATGGTTTTGCCATGGGAATCGTGACGCTCCCACACCATAAATCAATGTACGTCCTGGGGTCTCAGGGTTGGGTTTCTTGTGGGAAGCTTCTTGTGGTCGATCGCCTATTCTACCAGGAATCCAGTCACGAATGACGTCGCTGGCCCTGGCGAGGGCTGGGCACACAGGTGGTCGCACATCGTTCCAACGCTCGGCCCTCGTCTAGCCGGACGTGCCATACCTCTGCGTGTATGTCCAGCGCACGGCCTCCGCATGTTCCGCGCACGTATCCGACCATCTGTGCCTCCAGCTTCTTGCTAAGCTTGTGGGGCAGGAACGGACCACCCAATAGTGGCCTTCAAGTGTCCATGCAGCTTCCCTGTGAAGGGCTCTGCCTCTGAGACACGTTTCGGAGCAGTTTGTTGCCACTCTCCGAGCGATCCGCCAGGTCATGTTACGTTATTTATTGAGTACAGCGTACAGGTCGTTCAGAAACACGCATACGAAGGCCAGTCTTGTGCAAGTTGCTGAAACACAGGAGGTCCGCACGGACATGATTTGGGCTTCTCGGTGGCAGATCGGAGGCCTCGGGGTGCATTGGGGGAGGGGTACCTGAAGGCGCCCCAGGGCCCAAGGGGATCCCTAGAGAATCCGGAGGAATCCTTAAGGGATCCCTAAGGGATCCTTAGGAAATCCACAGGGAATTCCTAACTGGAGGTCTTAGTGGTGAACGGTGGGTTCTTAACCGTAAGCATGGTACCAGACTAATGCACCAGACTAATGTACCAGACTAATGTACAAAACTAATGTACCAGACTAGCGGTACCAGACTAATGTACCAGACTAGCGGTACCAGACTAATGTACCAGATTAATCGACCAGACTAGCGGTACCAGATTAATGTACCAGATTAGCGGCACCAGACTAATGTACCAGATTAATGTACCAGACTAGCGGTACCAGATTAATGTACCGGGCTCACGTAGACTAGCGGTACCAGACTAGCGGTACCAGACTATCGGTACCAGACTAATGTACCAGATAGCGGTACCATAATTGCTGTACCAGACTAGCGGTACCAGACTAATGTACCAGATTAGCGGTACCATATTAGCTGTACCAGACTAGTTGTACCAGACCAATCTACCAGACACATGTACCAGACGAATGCACCAGACTATTTTACCATACTAATGTACCAGATAGCGGTACCATATTTGCTGTACCAGACTAGCGGTACCAGACTAATGTACCAGATTAGCGGTACCAGATTAGCTGTACCAGACTAGTTGTACCAGACCAATCTACCAGACACATGTACCAGACGAATGCACCAGACTATTTTACCATACTAATGTACCATATTAATGTACCAGACGAATGCACAAGACTAATGTACCAGACTAGAGGTACCAGACTAATGTACCAGACTAGCGGTACCAGACTAATAAAACCAGACTGATGTACCAGATTAGCGGTACTAGAATAATGCACCAGAGTAGCGGTACCAGACTAGCGGTACCAGACTAGCGGTATCAGATTTGTGGTACCAGATTAATGTACCAGATTCGTGTACCAGACTAGTGTACCAGACAGCGTACAAACGTACCAGACTCGCGGCGCGTTTGGTACATTAGTCTGGCACCGCCAGGCTGGTACCGCCAGTCTGGTGCTGCTAGTCTGGTGCCGATAGTCTCGTGCCATTTGTTTGGTACTTTAGTTTGATACATCAGTCTGGTTTTATTAGTCTGGTACCGCTAGTCTGGTACATTTGTCTGGTACATTTGTCTTGTACTTTAGTCTTGTACTAGCGGTACCGGACTAGCGGTACCAGACGAATGTACCAGATTAATGTACCAGACTAGCGGTACCAGACTAGTTGTACCAGACTCATGTATCAGATTCATGTACCAGGCGAATGTGCCGGACAATGCACCAGACTAGTGTACCAGACTAATGTACCAGACTAGCGGCACCAGACTAGCGGCACCAGACTAGCGGTACCAGACAAGCAGCACCAGATTGGCGGTGCCAGCTCGGCGGTGCCAGACTTACGTGCCAGACACATGTACCTGACTAATGTACTAGACATCTGTACCATATTAAGGTACCAGACAAAAGTGTACCAGACTAATGTACCAGATTTCATGTGCCAGACAAACGTACCAGACTAATGTACCAGACTGGCGGCTCCAGACGAGCGGCACCAGACTGGCGGTACCAGACTAGCAGCACCAGACTTGCGGTACCAGCCTGGCGGTGCCAGACTAACGTACTAGACACATGTAGGAGACTAATGTACCAGACATATTTACCAGACCACTGTATCCGACCAATGTACCAGACTAATGTCTCAGACCAGTGTACCAGAGTAATGTACCAGACGAATGCACCAGGCTAACGTACCACACTAACGTACCAGACGAATGTACCACACTAATGTACCAGACCAATGCACCAGACTAATATGCCAGGTTATTTAATCGCTTCGCTCATTCCGCCGGCCCATACAGTCTCATGTCTGCCGTTTGCCCGAGGGCCTGGTGTCAATGCGGCGCTTTGGGGGTTCCTGGGGCCGCTTGGGGGACTCCTGGGGCGCTCGGGGGGGCATTTGGGGGGCCTCCTGGGGCCGCTTGGGGGACTCTTGGGGGCCTCCTGAGGGCCTTGTGGGGGCCTCTTGGGGCCTCTTAGGGGCCTCTTGGGGCCTCGTAGGGGCTTCTTAGGGCCGAGGGCTCGAAATGTTGTTTCGTGTTCCCTCTCTGGGGCCCCTTTGGGGGCGTTCTTGGGGCCCTCTTGGACCGTCTTGGAGGCTTCTTGGGCCGTCTTCGAGCCCTCTTGGGCCATCTTTGGGCCCTCTTGGGGGCCTCTTGGGCCCTCTTGGGGCGATCTTGGGGGCCTCTTGGGCCGTCTTGGGGCGTCGAAAAGGTGGAAGCTCCAAAATCTTTCAAAAACCTAAGGAAAAACAATGAATTTTGCCTCCGGGGGCCCTCTTGGGAGTGCTCTTGGAGGCCTCTTGGGGCGTCTGGGGGCTATCTTGGGCGTCTTGGAGCGATCTTGTGGCATGTCGGACCCCTCGTGTACCATCTTGGGGGCCTCTTGGGGGCCTCTTGGCCTTTCTTGGGGCTCTCGGGGACGTCTCGGAGCCCTGTTGGTGCGCTCATGGAGCGCTCCTGGAGCGCTCTGGGGGAGTCTCCCGGGGGTCGGTCGGGGATCGCCCGGGGTACTTTTCGTCCGGGGACCCCCAGGGGCCGCCCGGCGCGCGCGAACTAGAGAATTGTTAACCAGTTACCGGAGATCTTAGCACGCCTCTGGCCCGTTGGGCCGGCGAAATGTACCAGTCTAATATACCAGACTCATGTACCAGACTAACGTACCAGATTAATGTACCAGACCAACGCACCATAATAACGTACCAGACTAAAGTACCAGACTGGCGGCGCGTCTGGTACGTTAGTCTGGCACCGCTAGGCTGATACCGCCAGTCTGGTGCTGTTAGTCTGGTGCCGCTAGTCTGGTGCCGCTAGTCTGGTGCCGTTAGTTTGGTACATTAGTCTGGTACGTTAGTCTGGTACATTAGTCCGGTACATTAGTCTGGCACATTAGTTTGGTACATTAGTCTAGTTCATTAGTCTGGTGCATTTGTCTGGTGCATTGGTCTGGTACATTAGTCTGGTACATCAGTCTGGTACCGCGTTTACGGTTCAGAACCACCCTCGGAATCCCTCGGGAATCCTTGGGGGATCCCTCGTGAATCCCTAGGGAGCCTCTGTAATCCCCTGGGGATCCTCTGTAATCCCTCGGGAATTCGGGGGGGCAGGCCCCCCTTGGTGGTACCATTCGCCAGCATTGTTTTTTGTTCTCTGGCGGTTTCTGGTAGGTCCAGAGTCGGAACCAAGTTTTTGGTTGAAACAAGTTGGATAACACGGCCGTCGCGTCGTTTCTTGAGGCCGGATGTTTGGGAGCGTTCCTGAGAACCATCTCATGGGCGTTCGGGTTGATTTCGGAGATAGGTTGCCGGAGCTTGATTTTCGCGAAGTGTCTGACTAATTCGTTAGATTGCATTGGTCGGCACAATAGTAAGCTTTTGGGGGGGGTCCGAGGGCACAACCCATGGCTCAACGACTACCAGGCCATTATTTGATTCCGCGGCCGAGTCTGCGAAATATGTCGCAACCAATCGAGTGTTGCAATTAGGTCGTTGTGTGTGTGTTCGGTTGCCGATGGCGCAACGTATGGCGTATCCAATAGCGGGCTGTTGCTTATTCTGGCTGCCTAGAGTTTAAGCTAGTTGGCGATTATGCAACGTCAGGCGCAACCGAAAACTGAACTGATGGTACAAATTCCGGCCTAATCTCCGGAAGGGTCCCAGGTGCTCTCAAGGGACGAAGAGAGGCCCACAAGAGCCACCAACAGGGACCAAGACCGCCCCAACAATATGGCCCAAGATATCGCCCCAAGAGGTCCCTCTATGAGGACCACAAGACTGGACAAGTCAGCGACCTCTCCTGTCCGACCCTCTCAATGAGGAGTCGCGTTGCGCCCCCTGGCTGGCAAGGACCTGCATGCGCCTGGATTGTTGAGTCTGTTGTCAGTTTCTTGTGCCAATTGAGCGACGCAAGAGAAACGGGTTCGATTGCGCCGACATTTGCGCGTAAGTTTACAGCGAAAGATGGCGCGTCAGCGCCTTCTTCTTCGATGTGGCGTGCCGCGCTGGCGGCCAATGTAAGCCGCGGCGCAAGGTCGTAATGTCACATCGCGTAAGAGCGGCTTCTATTCGTCGCTCGAATGGCGCCTCACCACAACGAAGCCGACAGGAGCTCGGGCAGGAGACGGAGGAGTACTCCAGGCGAATGCTTGGGATGCTGGAAGGAGGGTCGCGCGCGGAGAGGACCAACCCAGACCTGCTCCGGACATCAGGGCACTACGAACCGCCGGGGTACAATTCAATATCATGGCGCCAACATCGCAGAGCGGATTCCGTTCGGACGACGATAGGATGGGCCTGGGGTGTCCTGGAGAATTTCGTTCCGGATTTCGAGGTGAGTTTCATGCGCTTTTTTGGCCAGGGATGAAGACTCAAAACAATCCACGCGAAATTCATTCCGTTTTTCACTCGCCGTCTCGGGGTTCTGCATTGACAGAATTCCACGCGAAAGTCCGCTGCAGCACGGCTGTAAGGTCGGTGCAATGAAAAATCGAGGCGCCGAATAGAGGACCACCTCGAGCTCAGTGGGGGCTCTGGCTTTCGGGCCGTCCCTTACACGTGGGTCGGGGAACCTGTTCGTGGCAGTAAGCCGGGCACGTCCCTCTATAGGAGGAATACTCAAAAATTGTCAAAATAGTCTGGGGACGATGTTTTTAGTTTTTTATCCAAGTTTGGCGTCTTTTTGGGCTATGTTTATTTTTTCGCGCAACATCCGCCTGTAAAGGGACATGCACGACCTAATCGTGGCATAGGCCCGCCGCGGCCAAAGAAGCCCCTTCGTTCCATACTCGGCGCCCCTGCTGGTAGCGCGATGATCGTAGTGACAATTGCTGTCTTCTCCCTCCTACCACGGATGCTTCTTGTCACCCTCCTAATCATCGATCTCCGCTTCCTCCTCTCCCCCCTCTTTCGCATCCCTCCTCCCTTTTGTGTCTTTGCGTCCGCGAGGTATGATTATGTATACTCGTCCGGTCAGCACCTCACCATAGCTGATTCTGCTCTTCCATATACGCCGGCTCCCTACTTCAAGCTTCCTGCTAAGGACTCTCTTGCCAACTCTTCCCGCACAGCGGACGAGAGCAGAGGTACCGCAGCGTTTGAGGGACGCTAGAACGCTGCGTCGTGCACACACACACACACACCAGATGTTGGATGATGGGCTGCCTGGGGCAGTGGACTGCGGCGTCGGGCCACACGGCCACCATTTCGGGGGTTTGAGGATCTGCAGTTCTCCTGGAGGGCACCACGCATGAGCGCTGGACTTGGGACTACCGTCAAGTTGCAGGACTTGTGCCCGTTGACGGCGACCACAACTACCATTCACACGAGCCACGTCTAAGCGTGCCCGCACCCACCGTGATGGGTGTCCAAAGCCACAGCGCTGGTCCATCGCACTAGGATATGGCAGCACGTGCAAGGGCATTGTGCAAACACCTTCTCATTTGACTAGTATGGTGACCTGCAGCCGCTGGTAGCTGATCCATGCTCACGTCTAGGTAAATGCTCCATGGCCAAGCCATGCCTGCACTACTGCTTCGTCGACTTCGCCGTTCTCTGGCACGTTGTTCTTTACGCTGCTCCGGTTAGGCTGCAGACCTGCAGCGGTGCATTCAACCGCTTGCCACCCTCCAGCTACCAATTTGTATTACTCGCTTGCTTGTTATATCTCGGAGCCGTTCGATGCAACCCAGCGCATCTTCTCTCTTGCAGCACTTATCCCTCTATTCCCCAAGCAGCCTGTCTGTGAGGATCCAATGTGATGCTTCTAAGGCTGGGTGTGAGGTCCTCCAGGTCCGGAGTCGGTTGCTCGGTGGCCCGTGGTTTTGCACGATGTCCCACGTGTCCTCGAGAAGGGCATCTCGCATGGACTCTCCGTATGATCTCCCGCATGGTATTCCCTGTTTTCCCTTTGGGCTCCCGTACGGTCTTCCGTACGGTATCCCAGCTGACACGTTCCGGAGCATTCTCCGTATGATTCTTCACTCTCCACACTATTCCCATGGTGGTTTTCTCAAGATTTGCTTCCCTCGCCGGGATAGCTTCCCATTCATTGCTCTGTTCAGTCAGTGTGCATGTCTTTGATCATGCAGCGTCCTCGCGCCTTGCTTGCAACATTGCTCAGCCGACTTCGGCATGTCGATGTCACCCCGACCCTGCACACTCGGAGGGGGGAGATGCGACACCAACACCACCAGGGGGCCCACCTCCAGCGAGGAGGTCCACGATGCCTCCCCGAGCTGGAGGCTGGGGAAGTCTCGAGCGAGAGGGGGGGACCACACCACCAGGGAGACCCCCCCTTTGCTCCTCGCATCTCCTCGCCCTGTTGGTGTTGGTGTCGCCTTTCCTTGTTCCCACACTCATCGCGGCCGCCCTCCGTGCTGCCTCCTGGCGCTGGCAGACTTCGCTTGGGCTGCAGCGGAAGCCATCTCATTGCACCGCGGCGTTGCTCCGTCGCTGCAGCCGGCACAGATTGTCTCTTGCGCACCTCCCATGTCATGAGGGGGAAAAACACACAGACACAATTAATCGTCGATCCCAAGGAAAATATGGGAAAATATGGGAAATGGGGTTGAAGAAAAAACGTAGAAAAATTGGAAGACATGGGGGACCTTCTTATTTGTGTGTATTTATTTGTTTGTCCCAGGGCCCCTTCATGACTGTATCTTGCGCACCTCCCATGTTGAATCAGGTGAACAAGTGGCTCCTGTGGCAAGCCGCGCCGCTTGAGCCATCCAGGTGCGCACGCGCTTACCTCCCCCTCTTCACATGTGGGCCCGAGTGCTGGAGTGGCGCACCGTGGCAGTTAGACCTGTCCAGTAAGCAGATGGTCTGTTCCGAAGGTGGATGTATTCTACCCGTTCTGCCTTCTTCTTGAGGACCATGTCCCGCCGCACGCTTGCACCTACTTAGAGCGGCTCTCTCTGTAGTGTCCTCTATTGCAGCATTCTGGCCTGTCCATTCTCCGTTGCGCTCGCACTGGCCACGTTCTTCCTGACCGGCTGGTTAGCTGCATCTACAGCCTAAGCTCAGGTCAGGGTCAATGGTAGGACCCCCCCCTCAACTACCTGCTTTCCCTTGCGGGCTGGCGATGCCTTCGCAGGCTCCTGGTTTTGCGAATGTGCCGCTTCCCGTGGCCACTTTTATTCTTGCTCGATGTCCTCTTTCCCCTCCCGTCATCGAAGGCTGTTGCTGGCCACATATTGAGGAGGCTCAAGCCCCTGTTGGTTATGTTGCGCTCGCGAGTGTTCCACAGGGTTTCACGGAACGGTTTCGGTCATTTCTTTCGTTATTTGTTTGTTGTTTCTCTCTTTGTTTCTCATTTTTTATTTTTTTTTCTCTCTCTCTCTCTCTCTTTACACGTTCTTTCTCATCGCCTGCTGCCCTTCTGCCAACAGATTCGGGTGACCAGTCGGTCTGGCAAGCCGATTGTTTTTCCCAGCGCCAGGAGTGGCCGAGCGCCTCCGCGTGAGACTTCTATGTGTTGTTCTTCTTGTGCTGTGATCCACTGTCTACGGTCGGTTCGTACGGCGTGGGCGCACCGGCGACGCCAGCGAAGTCTTTCAAGGCTGATCTTCGCATGATAGAAGGACGCGGAAGCACCGAGGGGCATTGTAACGCCTGTGGACCCAAGGGAATTCCACCTTGAACGGTCGGGGCCGCAATCATCGATTCAAGGTCGAACGATCGGCACGGTGTAAAAAAATGTTGCGCGCGCCGACGCCGCACGAACCTACCGTAATGGACCGAACCTTACGTCCACCGTGTGTTGTTGTGCCGTTCTGCCCCTCCGCTGAAACTCGCTTGATAGGCAACATGTCACGAGGAGGCCATCGTTGCTGAGGCATGAGCACGAGTGTTTGGCAACATGCTGTTCTCTTTACGGTCGGCCAGATGTATAAGATCGAGGTCGGCTCGGGGAGGGTACCCCAGTGTTCTTCGTGTTTGTTGGATGTTCCTGTGCATCCTGGTTGAGTGTGCCCTCGAATGTTCTTCGGTTTGGCCCGCGGAGGGTCTCATGCTCCTGAAGGATGTTATTTTGTCTTAGGGCTGGCCGTATTCCCTATCTTTTCCCCCATTCACACTTCCTCATACCCCTCCCCCTGCTATCTAGCACCGCCTGCCTGGGCAGCCCCAAGGGTCCCTCGAACCGTCCCGAATTAAAAAGAGACTCGATGCTCCGTCTTGTTCTCATGTTGTTTCTCCCGCATATGTTATTCCTCTTTACCTCTCCCCGTGGCCCCGCTCTCTCCTTGCTTCTTCCGCGTCTTCCCTTCTCCCCGTTCTCCTCGTCATCCACTCCCGCCTCACTCTCCTTCCTGCCCCCCGCTTTCCTATGGTCAATTTCAGCCATAAGGGTGACCTCAAGAAGCAAGTGGCTGCTTCACGCCCAGCGCTAGGCAGCATTGACATATGTTATGATTACGATGTGTATGTGTGTGTTGTGCGTGCTCGGAGTCTTGCATCGTGTTTGTCGCCGTTTCGGTACTACTCCTTCTCTTCGAGGATGGAACCGATCTCAACCAGGACCCCCTCCCCAGCAGCGCTCTCTGAGCGTGAGCCCGAGGCGGATCCATCTGTGGAGGCGAGGGGCGAGGGCCCCCGCGGAAGCACCAACAACACATTGGCCTGGCGACGAACCCAACCATGTGCAGTTGTGAGTAACACCGTTGTGAGCATCGACTTCGGCGGAACTCCCTATGGGGCCACGAAGCGTGTGAGGCGTTTGCCAAAGTGAGCAGGGGGACCGCATGCGAACACCGCCGCTGAGGCCTTCGGCAGAGCTCCCCACGGGGCCACGAAACGTGTGAGGGGTCCGCCGAAACGGCGCGGGGCCGCATGTGAACGCAGCCACTGGGGCCTTCAGTGGAGCCCGCATGTGGGGCCACGGAACGTGTGAGGGCCTGCCGAAATGGGGCAGGCCCGCGGTCGAACGCAGCCATTGGGGCCTTTGGAGGAGCTCCCGATGGGGCCACGAAAAGTGTGAGGTGTCAGCCGAAAGGGGGCGGGGCCCCACGCGAACGCTGCCACTGGGACCTTCGGTGGAGGTCCCTATGGGGCCACGAACATGGGAGAGGTTTGCCGGAAATATGGAGGAACCGCATGCGAACGCAGCGGGTGGGGCCTTCGGTGGAGCCCCCATATGGGGCCAGGAAGCGTGTGTGGTGTCTGCCGAAATGGGGCGGGGCCGCATGCGAATGCAGCCTTATGGGCTT